ACTCCTTGAAAGGCTTGATGAAATATTTAACAAAAGAAAGATGCACAGTGCCCCAGAGTGCTTGAATCCTTTTTTTTCCCCCTTGCAGAGAGATGCCCTCATAGTAAAGCACATTTGTATGCAAAACTATGAAGTGAACAGTTGTAAACTTTGCAAAGACAGTTTGTTCCACGTTGACCCAAGGCCTAGAGCAAAACAAGAGAGAGGTCAGAGAGAACTCACTCTAATGTTCTATCTAGACTCAAATATCTGTCCTAGATCCACTGGGGGGAAACAAGAGAGCCAGTCGAGGCCATTTTAACCTCCCGATCACACGCTTCCCCCTGCTGGGTTGTGCCATAAAAATGATAAACCCAACAGTTATAAAGTAGCGACATTCCACCCCATCACACCAGGAAATGAGTCTGAACCACAAGTGACTGCTGCTCACTGCTGCTGTGCTAAAATTGCACCTGTTTTTCTTTGTTTTGCATCGCTCAGTCTGGCAACACAGTAAAAATTGAAATGTCATATAAAATGTGACAGCATGCTAATATGTGGCTCCCAGAGGGCATCTGAAAGTGCTGTTGTTGATTTTGTAACTGCAGAGAGAGTCAGTATTCTTCTCATTTCAACCCCAGGAGAAGGGAGGAGGAAAGAAAAACAATTGGAAAAGCAAGGAATACTACAGGGGTGACACAAATTAAATTTCCAAAATCTGTACAAGACCTTGAGACAAAACAAAATTAAACAGCGGATATCACTGCTATACTGCAAATGTCAACGACAATGTTCACGTACTCCTACAGAAAAAAAGACATTATAACATCCTGAAAGCATATTTGTTCCACATGTAAGTAACATAGTGATGGTAACAACATATTATATTTAATTAGTAAAATTAGAAAGGAAAAATACAATCCAGGACTGTTGATAATAAAGAATTGTTTAACAGAAGCTTTTTTATCTTGCCTGCACTTTGCCACACAGCTGAGGTAAAGAATGTAAAATAAAAAGTACTAATACAAAAAAATACACCATTGAACAAGGCTCCTAAACTCCTGTTGAACTCTAAGCAAGTAATTCAAATTTATTGGGACATAAAACAGCATAACAAATATTCTATTTAATATAAAATATGTTCTCCTCAAACACAGTTGTACATTAATTTTCCTTTTTTATTTATTTTTGAGAAGATTCTGTTAGATTTGTTTCCCTGATTGATCAATTACATGTTAAAGTGTCACTTAAATGCTCTTAAAATTTAAGATAAATTCTGACACAAGAGAAACCAAGGTATAAAAATCCTTCCCTCTCCCCAACCCAAAACTATTTAAAACAAGTAATCTACTTTCTAAAAAAAAAAAACTGCATCATCGCATTTTTTTTTTCCTCTTTAGATTTTTAGGCAAAGTCTTACTTTTTATGAGTGAAATATTTTGGCTGCAAATCAAATGCAGCGTAGAGTGCTTTTTATCTTTTATGGCAACCATTTAAATAGTTTGAATGGTTTCAGCAATAGTTTTTCACTGGTAAATATTCCAAGCATTGCAAACTTAGCAGAGAAGCGGGGAACCACAGATTTTATAACTTTGGAGTTTAGTAATGGCTTTCAGAGGTATCATTAAAAAATAAATAAATAAATAAAAAACTCTGGAAATTGCCCTTAAAGAGAATCTCTCTTTTACCAGGAAATGGCAACATGAACTTGGAGTCTGTGTCAAAAAGCCTCAGATAAAACCCGGCGACTTGGCACCTTGCCAGTGCCACATGAAGGAAGCAGATGTTCCAAGTTTGTTTAATAGATAATTTATCCCATACATCTATTTCCCTCCCTCGCTCTTTGTCAAAACACAGACCCGTTTAACTGAAGCATTGAGCTGCACAGCATGTCTTCTCGCACACAGAAACGCTATAATAGCCCTATTTCTGCCCCTTGTGCCACACCAAACACCCAACTCCTGAACACTACAGAAATGACCATCGGGTTAAGATGCTTTTGTGTTCCTTTTCTGTGTTTGTAGGACAAGTAAAAACAAAACAACTACATAAATATGCTAAAGGTTTCTCCCACAAAACCAAAGTCAAACTCTAGTTAAGACAGTCAGCTGAAGGTGGGCCAGTCACACACGATGCTCCACAGTGCTAATTAGTGTCTTCACCCAGTCAGGTCCCACAGCGAGGATAAATATACACATATGTAAAAATAATAAAAAAAAAAAAAAAGAGGATGGAAAAGTCAATGATGACGCTAACTTATTTTCAGTTTGACCTCTGCTTCGTACCCTAAAGAGAGAAGTTCCCAGCGTTATGAGTGCACGTGTCGTTAATGCGTCTGGGTGGCAGGAGGTTGCTCGCCACTGATCATCTTTACCCATCTCCCCGTGGAGCCTCTCATCACCTCCGCCACGCCAGCTCCTCCATCAGGCTCAAGGTCAGGCTCACACACACAAATGATCTCCTGATCAGCCCTTACCATACTACCCCTTCTGCTGCACACCGCCCGACCCACACCCACCCCGCCTCACCTCTGTTCCCTTGCTCCTGCACTCTCCTTCCCCCGTCCTTCCCAGGTTCTAGCATGGCAGGGTGTGATGAATGGGGCATTATTACTCTTGTCTGCTGCTGGCCTGATTTTAGCTCATCCACTTCTGTCTCGTCAGACTGTCTGTGTCTCCATGTCTGGCCTTAAAACATATGTTACTGCCCGACCTACCTCGAATCTATTTCAGTCGTTTCCACAGTGAGAGTCGATGCGACCTTTAGTAGGTTAAGAAAAGGTGCTTGCAAAAATATTTTTCACCACAAACAAAGCATATTTATCTTTTAAGAAATTAAGTGGGGTTAAGTAAAATGTGATTTATCTCTTCACTCTCCAAAGGCGACAAACTTTGGCATCCCTTTTATTGGGTATGCACCCTCTGAGACATGAAGGCAGTAGAGGCAGATGTGAAAATCCACAGTCTTAAAACTTTTGTTTTAGAAAGAAAAAAAAACCCAATAAGAATGAGAGTGCACAGCCACAAAGTGAGGGGATCACTTCTTCAAAAAGTAAATAAAATATGCATCCTCTCTGTGCTCATTACAGATTTATGACTCTTGTTAAAAGAAAAGGTGGCGGCTGCCTTCTTGCATGTCTGACTTTCAAAAAATCAGACGACACTGCTGTCAAGTGTTGTGCTCCACATTCTGTCCAATGAGAGACCGGGAGGGCTGAGTGTGTGCCATCTTCAGCATCCTGTGCAGCGAGAGGAGCATAGAGACTTACTTTCGGGTGGATGGGAGCACGGCAGAAAAAACTCCTCACCTACAGTACGGGGAGCGTACCGTGCAATCCTTTGATGCATACTTCATCAATGGAAAAGTTCAGCTAGTTCAGCCACTTTTCTGGGTGTGTGATTAAGAACGGCAGCACTTGGGGGAGTAGACGTTCTTGCGTCAGGCATAATGAGCTTTGGGATTTGCAGTGATGATACAAGTAGTTTTGCTGTTCATAAAACAACTTAAACACAAAAAAAGCACCCACAACCTTGTTGAAGTCCCCCCACCAACACACATACATGTGCCATCGATCACCCATGTATAGCGCCTTGCTAGAGTATTCATAATGCTTGGACTTTTATGTGTCAGACGAGCACATGGTTTAATTTTGAAGTGAAAACAAAATAGTTATGTGCTTTTTTTTCTATGAAGACAATCTTTAAAAAAGTAAATTCAGTTCTTTTTGCTGTGGTAAAGTATTACTAAATTAAATCCAAAGCAACCACCTTCCTTCGGACGAAATTAAAATATGTGCGGTTTTCCACAAGCCATGTAGGAGGCACAGCAAACGTGTGAAAGAAGTGCATCGGACAGATGAAACCAAATTAGATTTGTTTGACTGACATGCAAAATTTTATGTTGGGAAACTAACACTGAACAAACATTCCTCATGAAGAAACAACCTGGTGGTGGCAGAGTTATACTGTGGGGAACGTTGTGGGGAAAGTTTTTTGATGCGGCAAAGACAAAGGTGAAGACATATAGCCACAGATAAACTAAATGCCTCAGATTAAAGCATATTATGTGCTTGAATGTTTGAGTCAAAGTTTAAAACTTTGACTCAAACATCTTTTGAGTCAAAGCCAGCGCTTAAACTTTATTTGCAAAGTCGGTTCCAATCTGTCTTGAGTTATTTGGGGTAGAAGAATGGGCAGAGGTGTGCAAAGCTTCACTGCAAGTAAGTGAAAGTTTTTGCAAACTTGGTTTTATGTTTCAAGAGCAGCTTCTGCTGTGTTTGCTGTGCTACACAATGCTTGAGGCAAACTGCACTTGGATTTATTATGACTTCCGTACAACAAGCAAGCTACTTGAACAGATTTGATTTAGGGGCATCAGTATACTTATTCAATTCCTATTTATAAAAACAAAAATGAAAACCATGTACAGCTGTCCTTCAACATTCAAAATATCTGAATGAATGTAAATGAATGCTTTTACAAGGAACTCAGGGAAGTATTTCAGTTTGGTTATATAAAAATTATTTTAAGTTGTTTTATGTTTAATGCCTTTACTGCTATTCTTAGTGGGAACCATGTTGTTCTTTTAATGACAAGAACCATTGGTAAATGAAGCACTCTAAGCTGCAATTATATTAAAATCACCATGTCAGCTTCTATCAGCTAAACGCAGGAAACACACAGTGAAACCTCCATCGACAGTGATCACCCTACGTTAGAGAAGATCAGCACGGAAACAGGGACATTACACAAAAAGACACGAGCCGCTTATCATGCTGGAGCTCACTTATCTTCCCCATCACCTTAAAGAGCAGGCACAGGCATGACCCCGGCAGTGGGCTAGTGGGCCAAACGTGCAGTGTGAGGAATGTCAAACTGAGACACGGACAGAGGAGACAGGTGCCGACGAGGACGGCAAACAGAGGCCGTCGGACAGACGATGAGCTAAGTGGCAAACTGGAAGACAGCAACACACACCAGCAGGAATCCGTGCCAGAGCCACACACACACACGTTAACTTACCACCATCACTCGTATCCACTCAAAGTGCCAGGAAGCCAATATATCCTCGAGGATATGGTTTTTATCATGGCTGTCCTCCCAGGGGCCTTGTTTAGGGTCCTTGTGGATAGATTAGAGTGAAATTTTCTCTTTATAAGCCAAAGCAAATAAAACGTATAATCTTTAGACAATGTGGATGTTGGGTGCTATACATTGTTCTCACCAGGTCCGATGAGGACTTTGATCATTTGGTGGGACCAGCTTCAGCCTTTATTTCATTTGTTGATACTCACCTTTGTTTATATTTATATACAAGTTATACAATTTCATAAGTAAAAAAAAAAATATATATATATATATCCAGATTTGCATGTTGTATCTTTTATTGGGCTGTTTTTTTAGGTTTTGCCACATTACAACCACAAACCTCAACAAATTTCATTGGAATTGATGTGACGGACCACCAGAGTAGAGAATAACAAACGTTTTTTGAGACGAGCACCTGTTCCACTCAGCTTTCATGTTGTAGGTGCTGTTCTGCCACACATGACAGGTTGTCTTTAGATTTTAATTTTGGTCTCATCTCACCCATACACCTTCTTCCATATTTTGCCATGTTCCCTACATGAGTCATGGCAAACTGCTTTCATTTGTTTTTTTTTAATTTTATTTCAGCCTCATGTCTTCAACATGAGGCCAGATTTGTTGGATCTCTGCAGCCATTTCTTTGTAGTCTTGTAGTTTTCGATACCAATTTCATCTTTTCAGATTTATAGTACTCTGTGAGATGTCATAAAGTTGAAATGTTTTTATTTATTCTAACACTGACTTAAACTTCTCTTCGTCTCAGAACTGCCTGGTCTATTTCTTGGTTTTGTGAAGCAGTTTGTTCACTAATGAACCTCTCAGACCTACTGAGATTAAATCACCCACAATTTGACGTTGTTCACCAAGTAGTTACCTTCTGAAGACTGTTGCACTAGATTTCGTTTAAGAATATTGGACTACAGGGGTCAATACAGAAATTCATGGCACACTTTTATTTCTAACAAAACAGTTTTCTTCTCTTTCACAATTTGTGATGCATCAATTGATCACATGGTGTAGTTGTAGTGCGACAAAAGTGTGGAAATCTTCATGGAAAAATCAATGTTTTTCAAAAGCACTGTATGTTTATTGGTAACTCAAAGACTGAGCCACAGTCTCTACTCTGTCGGAACAATGCTGATTTCAATTTAATCTATAATTATTCAGGGCAAATGAACAAAACAGGACAAAGTTGAAACAAAAACAATGTGTTGTGGGAATAGCAAAGCTCAGATTGAAGAAGCAATCACAGAAAGTCAGAGGACAGACGTATGTATCAGGGGAGAATACAGATAGAGAGAAATGATCCATATGTGTGTGATAGAAAGAAGAACAGCAAACATTTCACTTTGTTTTGCATAGTGAGACAATACTCCTCTGCGTTCCTTTCACCCGACTTTTTTTGTTTCAAGTCCTCCCTCTATTAGCCGAACATGATTAAAATGCAGTTCCTACCGGCATCTCTGCTGAACAGCCAAAAAGAGACAGCAAAACGGGAAGAAAAACGAAGCAGATAAGTCAAAAGCATCTTTTACAGCGTGTCGCTTGTCATCCCTCACTGGTGCCGTGAAGAAAACAGCACAACTTCTTTTCCTCTCTCTTCCCTTCTTTCTCATTCTTTTCCAGCGGTAAAACCTCCCAGGATACCTGAGGACAACCCCACTGCATCACAAGCTCAATAGCCTCCACAAAACAACATTTCAGTCACGTTTTTTTTTATCCAATTGATATAATTCCCAGTGCTCTCCTTAGTCCAATTACATTATGCCATGTCCCTGTCTCAGCAATATGCACGGTGCCGTGACTGGGACTGAGAGAGGAGATTTGGGGCTTAGGAAGGTGCTGCACAGCTGCTAAATATGGCTCTGCGACTTGTTCAAATTATACATATTTACCTTTACTCAAACAGTTTGCCTTAAGTGTGAGTGTATTGACTGCTTAATGACCCATAAAGAGACAGAAAATTAAACAGGCATGAGCTGAAAAAAACAGAAAACAAAACAAAACAGAGAGCTACAGCAGACAGTTAATATCAGCCTCTCCACTTGGTTTCTGAAATCAGAGATGATCATCATTAGAGTATCGCATGCTTATGTATATGCAAGCGCAGTAGCAATGTTAATTTCGACAAGCCATTGAAATGCACCCTTACAGGTTCAGAAAAAATTAATAAGGCTAATAGGTCACACAAGAGAAGCAGCAAAAGTTCTTAGTACTTGGAAGACAAAGTTTTCAAGATCCTGTTTGGAAATACAATAAGAATGGCCACTGAAATCAAAATTCTGACTTCAAAAGACTGCAAAGCAGCCCCGTGTTCACTGTTTAATTTGCAGTGCAAATAAGAGATTGTGTTTTGTAGGCAAGAGCTATTTAAAAGCACTTATTTTAAATAGTTTACACCTGTCTCATTAAAAACAGTTGTACCTGTGGCGCGTTAGAGCCTCTGAATGTGAAGTTGTTCCATTACTGTTTGAACGTGTAAAATGGCTTTCACTCAGCTTTTTACTGTTAATAGTAGTTAGCTCCAAAACTGTGAGCAAATCCTCCTGGTTTTTCAACTTGCAAGTAGAACATTATCTCATTATCAAAGCTATCCAAAGCCTAATAACAAGTTGTGCCACTTTTGAATACAACTCCTGCTATGAAGCCTGTGGGATAATCGAACTCTGTGGGGAAATCTCTGGCCACTCTTCTTTGTAGAAATGTTTCGATCTGCCTCATTTGTTTGAGCATGAATGACTTGTAAAATGTCCTGCTGCAGCATCTCAATCAGATTTACGGCTTCAACAAAGCCACCCTAACCCAGCGAGAAGTGGACCTGCTATTGTTTTTTATTGTACCAGGATAAAGATGAAATCTTGGTCAAGAAGTTGAAACATAATCACCAATGGCGGCAAAATATTTTGGGGATCATCTAGATGTTGTAAGTGTGAGACGGGTCTGTGTGTTAGTTTTGTTTTACAATGTTTTTGGCCTCTCAGGTTGATGAATGTTTTGCCCACTCTTTCTAATTGCTGCATCATGAACGCTGAGCTTAACTGAAGCAAGCAAGGCCTGCAGAGCGTTAGATGGTGGTCTGAATTTTTTTGGGATCCTTTGAATAATTCATTAATGCATCCTTAAATTTGTTTGGATCCCACTGTGGTTTGCTGGATCCCAAAAGCCTGAGAAATTGCTCTGCAACCTTTTCCAGACCAATCATCATCAATGACTTTGTTTATCATCTGTTTTTGAATTTCTTTTGGTTAAGGCTACATACGATCTGTTCCTTTCTGACGTTTTTAAGCCAACTTCCTGTTGTCAGATTAGGTCGACTTTAGTTATTTACTGATTCTACAGATCAGGCTTAAATCAGGGATAGGTTGACAAATAAAATTGAGCCAAAAAACATGATTCAATGCTTTATTCACAGTTATTCAATGCTTTAACATGGAAAGTATTTAATGGTAGGTTGAATGTTTTTTTTGTCCCTCTTCATAAGTTAAATCTTGATGTGAAAAATGCATTCAAATCACTGAGACAAATAAAAAAAAAATCAAAAATAGTTAAAATGTTATTCATGCAGTTAAAGCTACACCAGTTCTCAGTGACATAATCTCAAACTTTTGTAGCAATGTTCACTACAATTGCCTGCTAAACTGCTGGTTTAGCAGTTTGATATTGTAGAGAGTCTGGGTGAAAAGTCATAGGAAGACCTTACAGACCAAGAAGTCATTTATTCATAAGTTCAGTTGCTGCATAGAAAAACTAGGTAGCCACATATTCTGTCCCTCTCCAGAGTAATATCTGATAAAAGATAGAACTTGTTTTGTTACATGATGTACTTGTTATAGCATTTAGCATCAAAAAAGCTTGAGCACAAAAAACTGTCTGAATATTTTGAAGCAACACTGGAGAAAGTTTTTTTTTTCTTTATATTCTGTTGTTTTTTGTAGGAACTGGCAGAAAATACAATTTTAACTTCTTCGGGTAAAGGAAGTTACTTGATGAATTTCAGGTAATAACTAGGCTTTGTGTCAGACTATATTATTCACAAAACGTATGTCTGTTTCAAATATGCTAATTTCTGCTGTGATCAATGATGTTCTTAAAAACTCCAAAGAGTCAAGCAAACAGCACTGTCTTAGTGTCTGAAAGACCACCCAGCAAATAACTCACCTTCACTCAACAAAAGTGCAAAAGTTTAGGAATAATGAGTTTTCCATTTTCCCTGTGAGGACAAATTTACCAAGAAATGGGACAGGAAGGCACTTTTCCTGTAGATACATGTGTGTGAGAGAGATACTGATAGATATACACACAGGAAGAAAGAGAGAGGAGGTGCACCAGGCAGTAAGCCCCTGAGCAGGACATGATTGCAATGTGTATCTTATCTGTGTCAGGTCCTCCTGAGGCTAGTGGAGCCTAGCTGAGCGGAGCACAAGCGCTTCAGTGACCAGTCAACCGTGTGAGGGTAATCTCCTCACTCCTTCACTCTCTATCTCTCTCTCCCATTCACTCTATCTTTCTCCGTTTTCCCAGTAAGCCCTCCTGTGGGAGAAAGCTGAGCTGCACACACATCCATGTTAGACACTCACAGAAACAGACAAACACATTTATCCACACGCACACACCCGTGGTCTCTCGCACACACACATAGCCTAAAGGTGATTGCATCCAGCCAGCTCTGTATGTGGAGCCTACAGGTGAGAGCAGACATCATGGGCTAGATTACACAGGGAAGACCCTGTAGCCAGCAGAATGGCGGTATCATCGGAATCATCAGTATCACTCTGCTCAAACTGTACTTTAAGAAGTTTTATAGTTTGACAACAGATAACATCTTTAAGACAGCTGATGAAATAAGTAAGGGTGCTGAGCAAATAGATAAGATTATATTTGTTATATTTAATTATATCAATGTAGATATTTTAGGCCTAAATAGCTTTGGTTATAGGCAGCTCCTTCCTGCACAATCAGATCACTTTTTGAAGTAAAGATCAACTAATTCATTAACTAATTATGTGGGCCAAGAGAAGCGGGTTTGTCGTACATTGCTGTGGGCAAACTGCGTGTCAAATTTGCGGACGCACCAGAAACAAGGTTCAGCTTATAACTTTTGCATGTGAATAAAAATGTGATTAACTGCCTTTAAACATATGTAATTAACTAATCAAAAATGAACGTATTAAAAGTTCTGGCCCTTGAAACATTTGTTCATCTCTGCCTTTCTTTCATCCTTCACGTTCCTGTCGGCTCGGCTTTAACAACTCAGCCGTCCCAATCAATTAGCCGACATGCTGGACTTTCATTGAGATTAAGTGACTAATATCAGTGCTTGCTCACGAGAAAGACACTTTTCACGTCTGCCCAACAATCTGCTAAGTCAAACCACATGTGATAGGCTAAGGCATAAAGCCTGCAAGGGGTCCTCTCAGCAATGAAAAACAGGTGCTCTACTTTTTGGCCATGTAATACCCCATTTAGCCTCTGGAGCAAAGGTTATACCGCTAATAGCTGCCTTGTGGTGCACTGGGAAGAGCTACGCACATGGCTGTATTGAACATCTGGGACAGATTGTACATACTTGCAACATATGCTTCAAGTTCAATTAAAATGAGGCCTTGGCACATTTATTAATCTTTTTCCCCTTCTCCTCGCTCGCTCTTTCACTCCCTCTGCTCTTCGAGGTCTCTCCTATAGGTTTGTGCTATAAAAGAGGCCTCCTTTGACCCGTCCTTCATACTTACTCATACCATCTGAAGCTGTAGCTCGCATTCAGTGCAAAAGATAAGTTCGCCTAGCTCTGGAACTGTTATTTGTTCTGCACTTAACCAGGTTGGAGGTTGAGCAAAGAGAAGTGAGAGAATGTGTCAAAAGAAAAAAGAAAAAGCAGCAGAGGAGGTGAGTGAAGGCAGAGTCAGAGGAGAGCTGAGATGTATGCATAGAAAAAAGTAAAATGTCCCCCTTTCAACCTCTGTACAGCTTCAATGAAATGCTAACAGTGAAGGAAAAAGATGGATCAAAATGTATGAAGCCAGAGTTGGTAAATTGTGGCTTTTGTGGCAGCTGTGCTATCCAGCACCCCCAGCCTTCTGTGAACAGAGAGCAGGACTTTTTTTGGGGGGGGGAGGGATAATCAGTTTGGGACCAAATCTGACTGCAGCCACACAAGCTGCCTTTGCACCTCATTTCAATATAAAAGTGAAAGAAAAAAAATATTTTTTATATAATCTGTAGCTTTCCAAATGCCTATATTTTCATTTCTAACCCTGAGAGGAGGGAGGAAATGCAATGAAGGAGGACAGATGTAAAGAAACGGTAATAAATAAATAAATAAATAAATAAATAATGAAAAGGGTTCAAGGTTGTCTGGTGCATATCTTCTGTTTGTAGCTTCCCTCGCTCCCCCTCCCGCACATCACAGCCTCTGAACTTCACAATCATGAAACTTTTCTTGTGCATCACCGTGGGAGAGGATGTAATTCTCACATATCTTTGTATGCTCATCACCAAACTGGCAGCCCGGCTGACTAACTAGTGAAATGACCGTTTGACCATCTGCACTGCATTTTTTTTACTCTTTTCTTCAGTGCTTGTGTTAGAAAAAAAAACACAGTCTGTCTGCAGGCTTACTGCTAAAAGGTGGGCTTAATTACACTATGCATGCTCTTATGGTAGTGTAAACTCACAAAAGATTTCCAAAACTAATCATGCAAATTATTATTTTGCACTTTACTTGCTAACCAGTAAATTGCAAAATGTTTTATGTATCCCTAACCCTTGAACTCATTAGTACAAAATAGACAACCTGAGCACACATATCCCCATAAATGGCTATATTGGGGGTGGCAGAATAATGCTGCGGGATTCATCATCAGACAGTCATCAGCAGCCATAGGATGATGGGAGGAGACTTTTCAACACCAAAGTACAATTACAATTTTGGAATAGTTTGTGTTTCTCCATCACATCGAATTCCATTAAGCTGCATTGAAGCATGTTGCTGTAAAGTAACAAATGTGAAAAAGTTCGAGGCATAAGCATTCTTTTACAGAACCATGTATGGTGTTTTCAAAATTAGAAAAACAATTAATGGTTGGATCTTAGTAAACTCTTTGATGCTTCTTTCATACTGTGATGAGGTAAATCTTATTGTAGCATCGGAAGAAAACTAATTTAAAATAAAATGAAATTTCTAAAGCAAAAATTCAAGCACAGAAAACACAAGTAAGTGTATACAAAAACAGATTTTGCAGGGGGGGGGGACTACAACTCCCAAGGGAGCATTTTTCAGGTCCTATCCAGTGGCATTTGTTTCAGTAGCTGTTCCTACAGTGTAACGAGCGGAGGCCGTAAAGCAGCCACCTGTTGTTACCTGATATTGTCTGGACAAGGACAGATGCTGTTTTACTGCAACATAAAGGCACAGAGAACGGACCTGAAAAGCTAACTAAGCACTTTAAATAGGTGCATGTTCCCAGAAAGAAGGTTGTGAAGCTTAATGTTATTAAATGCAAATTTAACACAGAAATACAGAAAGTAAAATCCAAGGAGAGAACACCAACCACTTCAGGAGACCAAAATAAAACAAACTGCAAAGTGGAAAGGTGAGGAATGCGCCATGCATGTACCCAAAGAGAAAACTTAGAAAAGGTTAAAAGGTTGTACAATCTGTGAACATGTGTTTGTGCCTGAGGCGGTGAGAATAACTGAACAGGGGGGAGGAGATGGGAGGGGAAAAAGCAGTCATTTTGTTGAATGTCTGTATGTGTTTCTGGTCTGTGAAGCAGTGTCAACCTCTCCTGAGGCAATGTGTGTGTGCATGTGTGTGTGTGTGTGTGTGTGTGTGTGTGTGTTGAGTGCTTCCCAGACATGAGAAATAATTACCTTGTCATCTTTGTCAAAATCCTCATCCTCATCTTCCAGCAGGTCCTCCACAGCTTGCTGACAGATGCAGTGGAATGAGAAAAACAAGGAGAAAGAGGCATTAAAAACATTAGATAAATATCAGATAAACACAATCTCAATGGCCGAATAGGGACATTAAAGCTGATTGGTTATGCTTATGTCTGCCTAGAATTTGTTAATGAGTATGGAGAGCCTGCAGATAGCTACTGGATTTATGGGTGCTAAAAAGTCATCAGTCTTCAGAAGTAGAAATGTAATTTTAGAACCATTTTGTTGTTCAAACATGTTGACACTTCTGGAAGTGCAAGCAAATGCTCTGACTTTGAATTTCAAAGGACAGAAGATTAAAGTCTATTCAACTACGTAAATTACATTGCAATAAAAAAAAATCAGATGACACAACATTCTGCTGGGAGGCGACAAAAAATAAATAAATTCTGATTCTGCTTGGGCTCTACTGAACTCCTTAACCTTTTGCATTGGGAAAACTTCGAAAAGGTTAAAAGGTATACAAAAATACCACCTCTACGTTTAGTACATTGACCTATTTCACTGCTTTTAAGTTCTTGCAAAAAGATGCTCCGTGAGAGAAAACGAAAGAAACGAGTCCTAAGCCCGGAGAGAAAGTCACAAAGAACAGCAACTATTTGCTTCAGTGAAGCACGACCATTAAACTGGAGCCGGCGTTGCTCAGAAGCCCCAAGACGACACGAGACATACTGTACAACAAGAAGAAAAATTACTCGCCTTAAAACACAATCACATTTGCACAATTTCAGAACAACAAATGCTGTGCAGCACAACAATGGAATAAAGAAGTTATTAAGCAGAAGAAGTTTTACGTTCACATCAAGATGCATTCAAATGAACAAAATTCAGATTTTAATATCTATACTAGCGTTTGGATGTACAAAGAATAACCACAGATGTATCAATAAAGTGTTTGGTGAAGAAAATCACATTATTTTTAGCTTGACTGACTCTGCCCCATGACTTGTGCTCAGAAGCTAAAAAAGCTTGTTTCTTTGTGACCTGTGAATGCACCATGAGGAATAACAGCCAGGTTTCTGAAACTGCAACATTCTTAAGTGGGTAAGTTGTTGCTGATGAAAACAAAATCCTCAAAGCCAGCTATATTTGATACCTATAAGAACAGTGATAATAAAAACATTGTCTAAGATGCCATTTTTACTTTGTGTTTTCCGCAAAGTTTTGTGGAATAATCCTATCACAGCAGCTATACTTTGGAGGGTGCATGTCATTTTGTTCTTATTTTTCTAGCTTTGTTCATTTCGCACCTGATTTTCCCAGAAACAAAATGGAGAGGTCTGCCACAGGATGTAGATTCATACTCCACCCGGGGGGATTCTGACATTTAGTGTTCAATGACACAGACAAGTCCTACTTTTCTTTGTAGGCATTCCTAATTTCAGTGTCTGAAAAGCATAGGCCATTGCTAAACTTTATTCACCCTCTTTCTGTCAGTCAAACATTATAGTTACGAGGCCACACTCTTGCTTCAAATGTACATCAGCAAACACTGACATTATGAGTCAAACACAGTGGTCAACCCCAGAATTTATCTGCTCTCTGCCAAGTGTTGTGTTACAGAGTCCCAAACTCCCTGTAAACTTTCATCAGGCCCCGACTTCACCACAACTATTCCCACCTCCAGATACAACACAAACTACTTTGGAGTCATCCAAAAATCATTACTTAACAAGACAATGGCCTTTGTCCTTTTTGTTTTTCACTGGAATACGGGGGGAAACTGTGCAGCGGCTGACATAAGCCTCTTATGTAAATGCAGCTTCCCACACAAACAAAGAGGAGTTCAGAACAGCAGAGTTGAAAGGGTAGAATCAATAGCGTGAATGTTTGTGAGTGTGTTCTATCAATAGCTCTGAATCACTTGGGTAAAGAGTTGTGCATGTATGAACAAAACTCCACATTTTTTACTGACAGAGAAGGAAGTGGTTACTCCGGCTGTGAACTCCATCATCCTCCAGACAAATAAGCACGAACTGTTCACATTTGACAGTCTCTTTATTGACACAGAATACACCCAACACCAGAAAAAGAAAGTCTTGCACTCAGCAAAGATGTTTACACAAGTCTGTAAAATGAAAGCCTTGTGGCATTTCCAAGCAAATGAACTATAACTGTTTAAAAAGACATCACAATTCCCCTCGAATCTATTCACGCATGCCAGCATAGCAGCATAATAGAGTCCTCCACACAGAGGGTTTACCAGGGCACGCCTGGCACATGTTCCGAACTTTAAACAAAGGAATAAGCGTGAGCTAGCTGGAGAAGCATGACCTACAGAGACAGGGAGAATGATAGAGTCGTTTGTCTCCCTCTGCTCTCTGCTCCGCTCGCTCCCTTCTATTGCCTCTGGTTACAGATAGAAGTCATGTTTCCTGCAATGAGACACAGTGTAAAATTAATAAATAAAACGACACGGAGCATGTCGTCTGCCCTGAAGATTGCCACGGCTAAATGCGCACACTGGAGTTTCAGTGAGGGAGGATATAAATTACCACAGCTGATGAATTTCAAATATCTTTTAGTCCTTCTTTGAATTCCTCTCTTCATGTCTGCTTCCGTTCATCTTTTCAAGATTTGTTTGGTGTATTTTTTTTTTTTTTTATTCGCCTGCTTATCCCTCCATTATAATGTTGTTTAAATAACTATCATTACGCTGCGCTGGCATCAAAAAGCCTCACTGTCGACAGGATCGCATTGCCCGCAGAGCTGCTCCAGTCAGCTCAATACATACCAAGCCGAAGATTACCATATTCAGACCAATACAAATAATACAAGGATGACGCCGGGTATTACTCTGTGCCCCATGAATACATAGATTAGAGGCTGATAATATAAGTGAATACAATGACATTGAGAATTTTAATGGCTCTGAAAGTGTAAATGTATCTATTTGGCCCAGGTTTAGAGCCAAGAAGCTGGGTTAGAGTAGAAACCATGCAGCATGACGAGGATTGTTTTCAATCATTCCATCTCCTATTACCTCTATGCTTGTGTGTTGGTATGTGCATAATCTTAGTTATAGCAGGGAGCCAGCGGAAAGAAAAATCCAAGATACACCACAGCAAAACCTTGTGTACAGAAGCATTAACTGTAAATTACATGATTTGGTTGTGGATACGCAGTGCACAAATAATATTTCCAGCAGCTGCCTTTCAGGAACCTGCTTGCATGCCATCAACAGTGCAACAGCACCCCTAGTGTGTTTTTCTGGACAGAGACAATGGGCTCAAGGTTGCAGAGGGCTATCACTGTCATTTTGTGACTGGAGAACACATGACTCAACAGTGCCACTGTATGTTGATGTTTTTCAGACACTGGAGCTTAACAACAATAAAGTTCAGTGTGTTTTAATGTGAGAACGATGAAAAATTATAAAATATTTAAAAACTGTGTAGCATGCATTCATAATCAGCCCTATGCAGTCAATAATTTAGGAAACCACCCTTCCTTCTCTGTAATTACAACTGCAGTTCTTTCAGAGTACGCCTCTGTCAAGTTTTTACAGCTTGAAGGTAGCATTTTTTTATTTTTTACCTTTTCTTCTTTGCAAAGTAGCTTAAGAGTGGTTGTACTGCATGGGGACAGTCTGTGAATATTTGTTTCCAAGTCTTTGCACATATTCTCAGTCTAATTTAGATTAGGACTTTGACACGTGTATGGTTTGATTTAACCAATCATCTGGCTGTATGCTTTGCATCACTGTTCTGCTGACTAGTGAACCTCCATCCCATTCTTAATTTGTTTTTTTTTTTTGCACTAGGTTTTTTTTTCTAGGATTGTCTAACATTTCTGTCCACACATCTTCCCCTCCACTTTGACTTGATTCATTGCTGAAGAGAGGCTTCCTTGCCATCCTCATGATGGATTGAACAGTGCATCATGGCATGTTCAGTGCTTGTGAAATCACTTTATTCGCTAACACTGCTTTCAGATTCTCCACAACGTTATCCTCTGTTATCCTCTGTTTCGTACTCTTCATAAAGCTATTTCTTCACTTAGCTTCTCCAGCCGACCTCTGATGCCCCTCAGAACATCTGTACTCATTCAGAAAATACACCACACACACACACAAGTTGACACTAATCCAGTAATGAGAAACCTCTATTGACAACAAGCAAACTAGATTTTATTGGTATGTATCAGAGTAAAAGTGGCTGAACCAAACTGCAGATTTATGTGTAGAAAGTGTGTATTATCTTATTTCTGATTGCCAATATGTTGGTCTACCAACATTAAATTCCAATAAAATACATTGAAATTTATTGTGGTACCATGATAGAGGGGGGTATGGATATATTTGCAGGTCACTGCTGATCTAAATAATACTAACCACATTTTCATGTCATAGTCCTGTGTGGACTTACACATGAGTTGAAAGACACTCAGTAAAGAAAAACAACTGCGACTTCAGACAATCAATTTCCTTGAATCTAAACTGAGCATAACCTATTTGGATCAATGAACCAAGTGCTTACAGCAGCTCAGGAAAAGGGAAAGTAAAACTGTACAACCTGAACTAGTAGCAACATCATTTTCACCCTTGCTCAGGAACACCTCTGAGTACGCATCTCTTTCTCCTCCCTGGCCAGACGGAGATCCACTCTTTCCCCTCCTCACCTTCTCAATGACAGCCGCAGGGGGAATTGACGCGGAGGCAGACATCCAGGTGAACGCGAAGATATACTTTTTCCCTTCTTTTTTTTTCTTCTCCCATTCCTATATCCCTCCTTCCTTCCGTCCTCCTGCTGTTTTTCCTCTTTGATATGTAAGGGGGTTTTAACCTCTCCAGCTGCTGAGGCTTGGCGTGGTGGCTGGCTGGGGGATCTCAAGGCCCTGCTTGGTATGCACTGTCCATGAGTGTGTATATGTCTGCGTGCATGTGTCCATTGCCTACACTACAGTTTCTGCAGACTAGTGGAGGGCTGCGCGTCTGATAAGACTGAGCCAGGCCGACTCACATTGGGGGGGGGGCTTCACAAGCTGTC